AATTGGGTATTTTATAAAGAAAAATGACATTTATTGCTTACAGTTCCTGAGGCTGGGAAGTCTAAAGTCCATCTGGTGGTGGCAACAGTGATAAACATTGCCAAGATGGTGGAGCGGAGAGAGCAGAGAGAGAGCAGAAAGACAGACTATCCTCTTTTAAAGCTCTTGGAACCACACCCCTGACCACCATTTTTAATCCATTCACTATGGCATGGTCCTAAAATCCAGTCACCTCTTCAAGGCTCTACCTTTCAACTACCATAATAGGATTTCCTACCCTCTTAACAGTCACAGTGGGGGCCAAGTTTCTAATACATAAAACCTGGGGTACATAGTTTAAGCTTCAATGAGTTTTGGGGGAACATAATTCAATCCAGTATACCACCCTAATTGAAGACCTTTTCAAAGTATCTGTGTGTTAGTTCTCTGTGCTCAGATTATTATATTTTTCTATTTCTATTAATCATTTATATTTCCCTCAGAGTCTGTTTGGGCCTCAGTCTACTTCTAGAATTAAGTGATGGGGATATTTTTAGAATTGGAGCTGGGGTTAGGAGGGAAGGAAGAAGCTAGAAAGAGGATGGTGAGAGCTGGGAGAAGGAGAAGCAGTCTGAGGACTGAGCCAGAGAAAAGAGGAAGGAAGCGCCCAGCCCCACTCTCAGCCCTTTCTCCAGAACCTATTCACATCTTTTCCCCTTCCCTGGTGCTTTATCCCGTGTTAGATCAATTCTCTTAGGGCTTGACTTCCATTCGTGTAGGCAATTTATTGTAACCAAGTCCTTTTCCTTAACCATCCTACCTGGAGAAACTCAAGCTGGAAGGACAGAGGAAGGTCAGCTTTGAACTTGTTTTTTTCTAATATGCAATACAGTATAGAAGATGATGGTGACCAAATATTACTTTAAGTTAAAAAAACAGTATTAGGTAATATAAATATGACTATAATCATTTGCTCCAGTATTGCGATCTCTACTTAACTTAAACTTCACAGTAATAAAAATGGCAAATCACAAGAGTGTCAGAGGTCTTCAGTGGCAAGTCTTTCTCAGTTATTACTTATACCTAGATTTGAAAAGTGCTAGTTGGATAAGACCATTTAAGAGTACTGTGAAAGTTGTGTTCACTAGCCAACCACAAATGATTTTACATTTACTTGAGAAACAGGTATATTTTATCTCCTTAAACTACTCCTAACCCAGGGTGATTACTCTAAATTAACTTGTCACACATTACTTTTTTCCTGTCATATTAATTCAGCTGCAAGTTCCTCCTTCCCTACCTCACAGAGAAGCAGTGCACCACAGCTCTTCCTCTTTCTTCCCCTGAAAAAGCAATCTGTGCTGGAATGAGCTCACTTTGACAACATCCAAATCTCTACCTTTACTTTTGCCTAGCAGAAATTAAGAGCCACGGATTAACCAGATTGATACCCCTTTAAAAAGAGCTCACTTTTATTTTGATCTGTCTCTAAGATGTCAAAGACCTAGTGTTCTGCTTTGGGAGTCCCAGTTCCTGAATTTATCATATTTTGTCCTCTTATTTTATGTCTTTTTTTTTTTTTTCCTTTTTTTGTCTTTTTTCGTGACCGGCAACGGATCGCAACCCTCAGTGTCGCGCCTGCACCGGACCGGGACCGGCAACGGGACCGCAACCCATGGCGCTGCCCCCACACCTCGCTCAGCCAGTGAGCGGCCGGTCTGCATATGGGATCCGAACCCTCGGCGGGAGTGCCGCCGCGCTTCCCAAGTGGCGCACTGTAGCAGTGCGCCACCGGGCCGGCCCTTATTTTATGTCTTATATAGGAGACAGGCGTTGATATGGATTGTGCTCTAAATTTATTTTGGAATTTGATGTTTGACATTTTAATCATTTTTATATGAAAACTATTTTAAATGATAGTATCTCAATCTAACCCATAAAAGCCTATCTAACCCACAGTGTAAATACATAATACTAGTAATATATTGAATTCTGTATTGAGAGAGAGAAATGAGGTTAAGAAGGTTGTGTGCAAAGGGGAGTATGGAAAGAAGAAGAAGTCTTTCCCTTCTTCCTTTTAGAGCTGTTAAGTTTTGAATTATAGAAAGTTTGTCTTTGGTGCCTTTTGAACTCTACCCCTATCTTCCCATTCTGTCACCTTCTTTCCAGGGGCACTGGAGGCATACTTCTCATGGAGGCCATGAGAGCTTCTTCAAGGTTTCCACTTCATAAGCACACTCAGATATATAGTATTCCTCATAAATTTTAAATATCCAAATGATCTCCCTCCATGACCCAGTCAAAACTTTTTCTAATTGCTTTATCAATTTCTGTATTATGTGGCACTTTTACAATGAGGAATATACAAGTAATATATGAATACAATGAAGCATATATACAAATGAAAAAAACCCAAAACTTTCTTGAATACCAGTTGACCTCAAGGGTGAGAATAAAGCAGACAGCATGGACTGGTTTACATTAGTCTCTAAATGACTTAGTTCCCATCACATTTTAGCCTTTTTAAATAATGATGCTTGTTAATTAACCTAAGATAAAGGAATAGGGTCTTGCAGGTACCGGGAAAACTGAAGTGTAAGACTAAGAGAGTATGGAAAACATGAAGTGACGAAAGAGCACCAAGAATAGGTAGGCTGGGCTTGCTGAGCAGTTTTCATTGACAGCCAACTTTAGATTATTTTTGCCTCTGTTTCTTCCTTTTCTGTTCTTAAGCAATAGATATTTTTTAACCTCCAGGCTTTTCCCCCCTGAAACTCCTAGCAGCATTCTAGAGAACAGGAAAAATGAAAGAGATAAGTTATTCTGAGATGAGGATTGCTTGTATGTATTTATCGTATCAGAATAATGCCTTTTTTTTTGCTTTTGCCCCAAAACCTGAGTTAATAGGATCCTAATTCCTGTGTATATAATTTATGCATGTTTGATTTAACATTTACATGTATTCATCAAATTGTTTTTGAGGGGGTAGCTCTTTATTTTGCCAACAGCATTTTTTTTTTCCTTTTTGTCTTTTTTCGTGTCCGGCAATGGATCGCAACCCTCAGTGTCGCGCCCGTACCGGACTGGGACCGGCAACGGGATCGCAACCCTCGGTGTTGCTCCCACACCTCGCTCAGCCAGTGAGCAGGAACTGGTCTGTATGTGGGATCTGAACCCTCGGCAGGAGCGCCACCACGCTCCCAAGTGGCGCACTGTAGCAGTGTGCCACCGGGCCGGCCCTTGCCAACAGCATTTTTATAGGAACAAATCATCTACTTGAATTCTTATATATCTCTATTTCTTTATCCAGTTTCTTTATCTTTATTATGTAAATAATTTCATCAGTAGAATTAATTGATCTACAGTGATATTGGTGGCATCTGTACATAGAAAG